TATGGCTTTAAAGGAAATAAAGCTTATGCAATGTCACCGTCTGTCAGTCCCCACAAAGCTTGCTTGCCAGGTTCACTCAAATGTGGCAGATATCAGCTGTAATATTGTTTGACAAGTTTATGGACATAATCAAATAGGGAATGAAGGTCTGGCTGAGGAACAAACTGCAGGGAGAGCTCAGCCCCTGTGAGCCATGCAGGAATCCACACAGGAGTTTAACCTTGAGATATATATTACAAAAAATACTAGTTTGAAAGATTCCGCAGGTAGATTGAACTCTTCCCTAGAAGTCCTTTCTGAGAAGGCTTATGCAGTGTGGTTTTTTTTCAACACCTCATTCTGAGAACTGTTTTTGGAGGGTTATTCTTCATCCTTAATGCTTCCCCCATACACCAGGTTTGGAGGACAGCTAGCCATCCTCCAAAAGACTCTCGCTCCTCTTGGGTGGTTGTTTTATATATTACCCATCCCTAAGCATAAGGGATCTGTTGCAGGACTTGCTGAATATCTGCCCCCGTGTACAAGCAAGATGTTAAACATAGAGTTGATGGAGAGGTTGGGTCTGAAATTATTCTTGCCATGCTCATCAGTCACAAGAATGCTACATTAGGAAGGGTGCGGGTAGCACGAAGCAGTGTGAAGACCATTGCCCAGCACCAGCAGGCTTACGCCACAAGCCAGAGCTGCGCATGACGCAGTAACTTTAGCTCAGTCCAGTTCTTGAGAGGTGGCTGGGATGAGACCCTGAAAACAGTTGCGTAGGAGAGATGTGCTTATCTGATGTGAAGAGGAGGTTACGGGATAGGTCACGCTTTCATCATCTTTTTCCCCAGAGCTCTGCCAGCCACTGCTGAATTGCCAGTTGTGCGTTACTGCTGACCTCGCTGTCTGGTTTCACAGAGGGGATGCTGTGTTGCATCCTGCCACATCTCAGGGGCAGGACAACGTCCCCACCCTTGACCGTAATCAGTGTACTACACCCAAATCAGGAGGGGAAAAGCAAACTCGGTCCTCCCCACCTTTCTCTCCCAGCACCTCTTGTTTAGAGCTGGGTCACTGCACACAGTGTGGAAGACACTAGAACACACAGATGTTTTCTTAAATGAATGTCTGTGTATGTAAATGGATAATTTGTTGTGTAATATGCAGGTTACATCGCATCTGATTATTTACATTTCTAATTCCCTTTTCTTCTTACATATGTTCTAATGCTTTTCTGCAGGCATGCATGGATCTGTCTTGTCTTTAATCTTGCAACATCTGTCCCTACTTTCCGTCTCTCTCCTGCTGTTCTGCTTTTATCTTCTTTGTTAGAATAAGACAGTCCACAAGGCAGTCCTTGCAGCCTGGCTTCTTGTCTCCTGTTTGATGCTCTGGAAACGTTGCCATGTTAGGACCTTGCTAATCCAAGTGACTCGCTTAGCAGCACACTGCCACAGCCACCAAAGTAATTGTTTTTATAATTTAGTTTTCTCTAATATGAAAATCCTCATTTTCCATAAAGGCAACAATGTAGGCACCTAAAAGATAAATAGTTGAAACATCAGCAATCACCTGTGGGAGTAAGAGCTTTCATCAAATAGCGAAACAGTCCAAACCTTCATCTTAACAGGTTTTCATCATGAAGTGACTTTCCACGTCCCTTACAAATGTTCAAAGGAGCCATGCAGCAGACACCAAGTTAGTACCTTGGCCCAGGCTTGGCACAGGCAGTCATTGGCAGCATGTCTGCTCCTTGAACTGCTCAAGCCTTGGGGCTACCCTACAGGAATGAAGTAGAAGAAACAATCACCCCCTTCCCCATTTCCTTATATTGCCATGACTACGAGCATCTCTAATTGACTTAATGATATCCCAGCACCTCACAGTTTGGATGCTGGTCTGTGGCACGGTATCATCCTTGTACAAAAGCTTTGTGCCCGCTTGGTATAGTGGGAGGTGTTATACAACCTTCCCATCAGACTGGCTGAGGGTGTGCTAATACTCTAAATACAGAGTGCAAGATTAAAAAAAGAATCGTAATTCTGTGGTGGGATGTGGACTCAGTAAGGTTTTCACATGCATCGCTGGCCTTCCTGAGCGTGTTTGATCTGTTGGGGAGCAGCACCAAGGGCTCTGCTGCTGTGCACTGGTTGTGAGACTATGCAAAGTGCCAGCCAGCACATCGGCGCCACAGTACATGTGCTCTGCTAGGATAACCAAATCTGAATGTAAAGCATGAGCCTGAAATAAATAGCACATTTATTTCAGGTCGTGTGTGACAGCCCTGGACTACGAACCAAGACGGTATCAGCTCCTTTCCTCTAACCACGTGGTTGATTCCACGCTAGATAAAGCTTGGCTAAATAAATTGCTGCTGGACTTTTACTATTCCTGTGTTGTTCTTTTTTTAGCCTATTTTGCACTGCAGGTGATCTATGCCCGACGGAAGTACAAGATTTCCCCTCCCGAGACAACAGGTCACCCTGAATTTGAGCGGATCTTCAGAGCTCAGTAAGATTTTGACTTTTTTGTGGTGATTCCATCTAGATATGACTTGAGTCAAATGTCGCTACCAGGAGAGTTTGAAGTCACCCTCAAGTCATCTTTTCACTTTTTGCTGCCGATACTAGAGTTTGGGTTTTTTTAACGCTTTGCATGCAGAGGTCTGAGGTTTGATTTGGAGCATTTTGCTCTGGCTGGAGTGTTTTTGTCCATCCACATTAATCCTCCTTCTGGCATTGTGAGAGGCAGCCAAATTACAAATTAGGGGCTGTATGGAAGAGGTGCTGAGCATTAATGCATTATAATCATTAAGTTTAATATTAATGTTGGCTCCAAATCGTGAGAGTAGCTGAAACTATATTAATAACCTAATATTTGCTTGTAAGTTTTTGCTGTTCAATTGAAGCAAAGGGCCTTGCTGGCAGAACCAGCTATGAGGACATTTTTATTTTTTCTTTTTTTAAGCCATTGTACTGTGAAAGTCGGCACTTGCGGGCCCATGCCGAGGGCTGTTTCTTTTTGCTCTGTTCCTATGGAGAAAACAATGCTGGAGCTAAACTGGAAAGGTTCACAGATCCCTTTGGCTTCCAGCAAGCACCAGATTCCGTCTTTCATCTCAGTCGTGCTGTTTCATAAGCGATTGAAAGGAATTGGCCAGAGCTGGTTTGAAGGGTAGTTCGAGCACAGCACTAAATCCTGAACAAAGCAGCTGCATTTCCTTGCCAGCGTGCAGGAAACATTTGTGGAGTGACAAAAACACCCGCTTTGGTCCTTTTGCAATGCAGTAAAAGGCCAGCCTGCATGGGAGGCTTCAGCCTTTGCTAGCTGGATAGCTGTTGATGAGGCTTTTAATTAAATACTCGGCTGTGCATTAACTGAGTCGTGCTGTGGGCTGTGGTGTATTGGGAAGCCCTCCGCTATATTCTGCAGAGGAGGCGACTTCAGGGAACTTGAGTGTGAGAAGGTATTTCTTCATTGTGGGCTTTCTATTCTTTTCCCTGTGGAAAAAGATACAAATGGATAATTTGATATATTAAATAAAAAAGAGGGGAAGAAAGGTATTGATTTATTACTCACTCGTGGAAACCTGGCAGCCTCCCCTTGCTGAGGCTTAAACTGCATTTGCAGCATAAGGTTCTTCAGACTTTTTCCAGCTCCCAATCTGTCTCCATTCCCCAAGGCTTGGTACATTTTTGGCCAAATTTAAATTGTGCAGGGAATGGTAAAATATAGGAGAAATCAAGAAACAAAATCATTGTCTTTAATAGCACAGTTCCCACCGTCCTTTCTTGCAGAAAAATCTGTATTTTTGTCACTAAAAGGAAGAAAACCTGGCTGCAGATCTGATCACCGACTGCTGAATTAAATCTGGGAGAAGGCTCCTTCTTGGAGCATGACTTGTGTGACACCTAAATTTGAGCTGTGCTTACCCTAGGGGAAGAAAACGCTCCTTAAATAATGTCAAGGAACCTCTACCCTTGTAGCTTTTAAGCTGTAGCTGCTCTAGATGTCTGTGAAGGCACTGTGTGCGGGGCCAAGGACAGAGCCTGTCGAGGGTCCAGCAAAGACAAATCTCCATCTCAGCCACGGCTTGTTGTTGCAGGGTCCATGTGAATGTAGGTGAGGTGAATGTTCTGCATTGTTTCAGTGCTTTTCTTCTCTAAAATACAGATGTTGGGTGTCCTTGGTCGCAGATAAGGATTTTTCTCCCCAGCACAGCACAGCACAGCAATGCCTCTTATCAGCCCTTTCAGTTTGCTCCAGTGTGCACTTCCAGCTTACCTCTCTAGCCTTGGTTAACTGGTCTCTGACGTATGAGGATGCGGTTTTAATGCACATCTCTTTGGTTTTCACCAGGGCAAATTGCTCAGAGTACTTCCCAATCTTCGTCTCACTTCTCTGGGTTGCTGGAATCTTCTTCCATCAAAGTAAGGGGGATGAGGTGGGAGGGAAGCCCAACCCAAATCATGTGCACCACATGGTCAGCCCGGAATTGGTCAGGCAGTTGGACTAGATGATTCTTGTAGGTCCCTTCCAACTGAAATAGTCTACTTTATTCACTTCTATTCTGAACAAAAAAAACCCCTAATGTAAATCCCATTGTGACTCAGGCACCTCCTCTCTGTACCCGTGAGGCTGTTCCTTGGGGAAAGCAAAGTTCCCCTCTGTCAGGACAGACCGAGGAGCACCCCAACTCCAACGTGCAATAAGTTGCTGGTAGCAGCCAAGACAGTCTGCTGCCCAGAGAGGTTTGGTGGCATCGGCAGCCCGTGTTCCTCCACCAGTACCCAGCTGTCCCCCCATATTGCTTCTCTTAGATAAGGGTCAGGGTAGCATATGGTGCCAGGGGGGCAGTGGGGCTGGGAGCAGCGTGGTGCTCTGCTTGGGAAGCTGCTGCTTCCTGCTGCGCCGGGGAAGGTGCAAGCTGAAGCTGAGCTGCAATACGATACCCAAATCGCTACATCAGAACGAGAAACTGTAACGCAAACAATTAGTAATCCACTGTCTGTCCGGTACCCAGTGGGTTTAGGGGATTTGGCTGCCACCGTGCGGAAAATGCAAGGAAGGACCACAGCAGGGAGTGTTGCAAAGCCAAGCCCCAGGGCACCACTGGGGGGGTTGAGAGGTTCATCCCTTGCAAAAAGGGAAGGAAGAAAACCCATTTAACGTCCCACACAATTTTAAAGCTGAGTCCCTCTGCGTTTGGTTCTTGTGGCCATGCCCCCATCTGCAGGGGGAGGTGGGGGCAGGGGTGACTGCACTGGGCTGCAGCTCTGGCCATGTCTGTGGACCCCTGGCCCCATCAGGACTTGGCTCTCCTCTCCCCGCAGGTGTGGCCGCTGTGTGTGGGCTGCTGTACCTCTACACCCGCTTCAAGTATTTCCAGGGATACGCCATGGCTGCACAGGGACGGTTAGTACCTGGGGACTGTGGGCACCCCAAACCAACCCCGGGAGGCTGGGTGCAGGATGCGTCCCCCTGGGGCAGGTTTCCTTCCTGGGGGGGGCAGGGCTGAAGGCAGGTTTGTATCACCCCGTCACCTTCCCTCCCACTCCCACACACTCGTGGCCCCACCAGCTCTTCCCCAGCAGTGTCTTGGAGGAGGAAGGGGGACCCCATGCTTCATGCCCTGGGTCGGCTGGCAGTGTCTGATGGTGTTTTCTCCCCATGCAGGTTGGGCCCACTGTACGCCAGCGCCCGGCTGCTCTGGCTGCTGCTGGGCTTGGCGGTGGCTGGGCTCCTGGCACACTTCCTGCTGCCCCACTCCTCCGCATGGGTGGCAGCACTGGCACGGCCCTTCCGTCTGCTCAGCGCCTGGTGAGCGGGGCTGTGGCTCTCCCAAAAACCACTGCTCGCCCTTGGCTGATGGGAGGGACTCGCATGGCATGGTCGGTGACTATCTCCCTGGCTCTGTGCCTACCTTTGAAGGGAGGCGGATGCTGGCACTCCTCTGCTCACAAAGCTCCGCTCTTCAGAGACAATTTCCCTTCTAGAAAGCAAATGCCTCCCAGCCTCTGACAATGGGCTTCACTGCCAGGGTTTGTGGTACTCGCTGCTCTAAAACCTCTAACGCCTTTGGCTCTGCCTCACAGAGCACAGGTTGACCCGTACGCTCTCATCACTTCACCTTACTGCTGTAATGGTCTATGTTGAAGGATCACACCATGAATATATATATATAAAAAAATAAACTCTTTTTCTCAGTAGAAATCATCTGCAATTGTGAAAGGTGCTTGAGGACTGGGTGTGAGAACATCTGAGGGTTAGGGTACTGGGTTATATGGGAAAAGCTGCCGCGATTAAAACTAATTTGAAAACATGGGTAAATGTGTCTAAAACCTTATCTGAATTTTGGGGAAAAAAGCCTGATGCTAGTCCAAATCCTAATGTCTGTTTGGCATTGACTTGAATGCTCTTCACTTAGCCCAGACCCACCAGTAGGACTTCGCCCTCTCTGGATTTCAACCTCCGCTGCAAACTCAGGGTTTGCAGGTAACTAAAGCAGGCAGCTCCTGCTAAGCTGTATGTGGCTATAAAAAAAAAAAAAGCAACGTATTTTGTAAGGCAGACAACTGTTCCACAAGTGCACCCTTGGGTGTAGAGGTGCCCAAGCGCCTTCCTTGTTCCCTGCCAAGGAAAGACCCAAGCAACTTTCTTTTTTTAATAAATGGTGAAGGTTCCTCTGGTGCTGGGGCAAAAAATAACCAGTTTCCCACTGGGCTGCTCTAAGTGCTTTCCCCAGCATGAGCAATGCTTTGGGAGTATCGGGTATTGGTGAGCGCTGAGGAATGACTCCATTTTGGGTGTAGGGGCTACAGCTGGTCCCTGGCACCCAGGGATGCCCACTCATCCCGGGGACGGGAACGGGCAGGCAGAGCCAGAGCATGGGCCTCCCTGCCACGAGTGACTCTCACTGCTGCATCAAAGGTTTAAATTTAGCTTTTATTACAGTGCACATTATTTTATATATTTATGTATAGATGTACTTGAAAAAATCAAATGTATCCAATAATAAAAAATACAGCACATTAAAGTAGTATAATGCATTCCAGTGTATAGCTGAAGAGACATTGGGATTTACACTAATCCCTACTATTTCTGAACTGGGCTACTTCTGCTTCCCCCCCCCCCCCCCAAAAAAAAAAAAAACACCCACCCCCACAAATCAAA